GCATTTGTGTTTCCTCTAATTGCAATGCACTTGATAAAGATATTTCATTGTCTGGCTCTCTCCTGAGTTTCTTCATCCTGTATCCCTTTATTCTGCATTACTTTTGTTACTATTTTGTATCACTAATGGTCATTAGTGATGTTTATTACCTATTTATGTGTTTATTACCTATTTATGTGTTTATTACCTATTTGTGCATCAAAATGTAGGCTGCTTGAAGGCAAAGGTAGCGTGTGTTCCTGCTTTGCCAGTCCCAAAGCCAAGAATGCTAACAGAAACAAAATCCAAAAGTATGTTTGATTCATTAATTACTGCGTGGAAAATAATAGCCAGTCCAAGTCATTTATCAAAATTTTAAGTCATATTTTAGTTCATAGCTGTTCATATTATTTAGTCATAATCATATCCCCCTATTTCCGAAATACTAAACATTTCTCCCTTTGAAATAGTTATCTTTTGAAGCTTCAAGTCAAAATAATAAAGCTTTCCATTGTGTACACTAACCCCCCTCAACATTTATCCAATGTATAGATACAAAAGCTAACTACAGTAGCCTGGTTTCCAACCTCTAAAAGTTAACATTGAAAGTAATTAGTCTCACACTTAAGTATAATTGATTGAGTCTGGTGTTTTATCTTTATTCTTTATTCTTCCACGTGGAAAACCACCTATGTTATTACATTGATTCTCCTTTCTGCCTCTCTGGTTGATCTTATTATTCATTTAATTAATCTGTCAGTTCTGTTGCTTACAACCCAAATTTCTTAAATAATGCACGCAAAAGGCACATATTCAATAAACCCACAAGATTCAACTTCCTCACTTAGACAATGAGTTTGCTTCAAGGAATTTCTATGTACTATGAGGCATGACCTAGTTTGATATGCAAGTACGTTTTCCTCAGAGGACATGGTTGTACCTAAGAAACTGAGTCTCTGCTAGTGACCATAGCCAACTCCTCAGTCACTTCCAGATCAAAGGGTGCTAAGCTATGTCAACATTAGGCAAATGATAAATGTCATCAAAGAATCTTTGTATGTCACTTTCTGTCTTTCTGATTATAAAAGTAGCTACCACATTCTAAGGGCTGGGTGTTCTGAACTGTCTTTAACCAGAGCACCATTTTGTATCTAGAACCTTTCTCAGACTCAATCAAACTGTTCATTTTAACTGCCATCTGTTTCTTTCTTTTGCTGTCATTCTCAGATACCTTGAAATATAAAAATGAAAAAGGAAGTTTCCAGTTCCTAATTTTCTTTCCTCTCTCCTTTACACTACTGATTCTACACAACCTTCGAATTGCACAGTATTCCTTAATTATTTCATTGCCCATTCTAGTGATTTTAACATTTCAAAATCACAAAATCACAAAATCTTTTGCTGTGACCACATGTCTATTTTCTCAGAGCTGCTCGCTTGAAGTAGAATTTAAGAAAAATAATCCAGGAGGATTGAACTAAATCACGTCAAACATCAACATTGCTTCCTTAATCTTGTCAGAGACATTTGCATTTCTTTAAAAGAGGACACTTAACCAAATTTTTTTCATATCAAGTATCAAGCAGTATGACAAAAAATTACAGAAAGTGCAAGGTAGCCTATTTTAAAAATTTGTTTATTATTGAGGGCAGAGAGATAAAGACATTGCCCATTCACTGATTCACTCTCCAAATGGCCAGGCTGAAGCCAGGAGAGAAGAAGTCCCTATGGGTCTCTCACGCGGATGACAGGGCCACAGGCACTTGTACCACCATCTTCTGCCTCCTAGGATGCATTAGCTCGAAGCTAGAGCAGAAGCATGGTATCAGAATTCCAATTATCTGACACAGTGTACAGACATGATTTAATCTGTTATGCCATAATACCTGTCCCTGGTAGCCAATTGAAAGATCTTGTGAGATTGCATCATTAAAATAACCAAAGAGCTACAGACCTGACAACTTACCCATCAACGAAGAGATTTTAGTCAAAGCACTTCGATTTTGCAGATCTACAACATATACCTTCATTGAAAATATGGCTAACACATTCACAAATGCATCGAAAACAGCACTAAACATGTCTAGAGGAGCCTTCTCACTTCCCTCTCCCTGAGTGATCCAGGCAGAGGCAAAATTAATCACTTACTTCCGACCAACAATATGTGTCATAGAGGATGGGATAATCAGGCCTTAGTTAGGTGACTTAGCAGCTCTTTTCTACAAGCATCAAAGAATGACTAGCTGGGTTTGAAAATGTAGGTTTCCTTGCTGTGAGAAGCACTGACAGACTCAAATGGCAAAGATCCCTGTATCACTAAAACCGAGAGGAGTTCTGACTAAAAGCCAGCCAGCAACTGGGAACCTCAGTCCTAGAACTGTAAAGAATGAAATTCCATCACCAACAGCATGAACTTGGAAGAGGACCATATGCTGTAGAAATGATTGAAGCCCAGTGGACACCCTGAACAGACATTGGGACGAGAACCAGCTAAACTTTTCCCAGACACTTAAGAAGTGCATGTTATTTTAAGACAATGAATTTATGATAATTTGCTAAGCAACAGTAAAAAAACAAATACAGTGCTGTGTCTCGGAAGGCAAGACAGAAAGCATGCTCTGTGTGAGAATAAACATAGATTGTGGATTTAACTCACACATTGTTAGTTTATTTTCTGACTTGTCTGACTACAGCAAACACTAAGATAAGAATTAAATATGAAATTTTAAATATATGATGTAGGCTTTCCATGATTATTAAACATGTCACCAAAGTGAGTTCCCTGCTCCTTAACTCGGCTAGTGTAGTTTGTTCCAGCCATAGCTTCATCTGTTGGCAGCAGTAAGATGTGCCATGTGAACAGTCCAATCTATTCAATTCTGACCCACTAAAAACAGTCTGAATGAGTGATGAAGTAGGTGCTACAACTTCACATCTACCTGACATGTAGAGTTTAGGGTATTGGCCAATTATTCAGCAAACAGGATTCACAGAGGGCAGCATAGCTTACTTGGCTTGTCTTACCCTGTGCCTGGATAGCCTTGTAACATGCCTCCTGAAAACCACTTCAAATCATGTCTCAAATGGCAAGAGCCCACTTACTCTTCTGCAAATTTTATCCCGTTATCCTAGATTTACCTCTTTGTATTTTGACACTTTGCAGAACCATAGCTTCTTGGGGGTTTAGTGGCTAAATTCCTTCTGCATCTTCATTATTTGGTAACTGCTATTCTGTTGCAGCAAAACAGGTTTCCTAACCTCATTAAGAATTCTGCAGTCCAGAACAAAGTGGAATCAGTAGTGATTGATTAATGTTTCTGTGAGCACTGAAATGTTTAAATCAATGCAATATTAACCAACAGAATGGTTTAATGGAAGGAAAATGGCTGGAAATTCTATAAGCCCAGTAACTTTCACTGCTTTAGTGAGTTCTTAGCACTAAAATATATTTTCAGTAAAGTCACTGGGTACATTCTGGTTGAATTTCCTCTTCACAGCTTAATAGTTTAATTATACCTCTGTATAGCAAACAGTTATAATTTCCTTCTCTATATTTTCCACTCTCACATTTTCATAAGAAGTGACTAGTAACTGCCACATGTAATTTTTCTTATTAAATGTAAAAACGTAAGAAATATTAACTATGTCAAATGTCTTGGGGGTCCCTGATTATAACTTCTCAAATTTGCTGTTCTGACTTTGAATAAAATTGCTTATGTCACAATCTCAGGATATTCTTGAAAATAAAAATGTTAGATCACTAATTGCTATTTCTGCATTACTAATTGTCTCCCAAGGGACAACTACAGTCCTGACATTTTCATTATTTTGGTTCTACTAGCCATTTCAATTTCTTTTTTTTTTTTTAAGATTTATTTCTTGGGCCAGGCGCAGTGGTGCAGTGGTTAAGGTCCTCGCCTTGCATGCCCAGGATCCCATATGGGCACCAGTTCTATCCCCAGCAGCCCTGCTTCCCTTCCAGCTCCCTGCCTGTGGCCCGGGAAAGCAGTAGAGGATGGCCCAAAGCTTTGGGATCCTGCACCAATGTGGGAGACCCAGAAGAGGCTCCTGGCTTCGGACCGGCATAGTATTGGCTGTTGTGCTCACTTGGGGAGTGAATCATCGGAAGATCTTCCTCTCTGTCTCTCCTTCTCTCTCTGTATTTCTTTTTATTGGAAAGTCAGATATACAGAGAGAGAAGGGGAGACAAAGAGGAAGATCTTCCAACCACTGATTCACTCCCCAAGTGGCCGCAATGGCTGGAGATGTGCCAATATGAAGTCAGGAGATAGTAGCTTCTTCAGTGTCTCCCATGCCGGCGCAGTGTCCCAAGGCCTTGGATGTCCTGACTGCTTTTCCAGAGCACAAGAAGGGAGCTGAATGGGAGTGGGGCTGCCCTGGATCAGAACTGGCACCCATATGGGATCCCAGCACAGGCAAGATGAGGACCTTAGCTGCTAGGCTACTGGGCTGGGTCCAGCCATCTCAATTTTAATTCATTTAATTCATTTCATCATAGTTGCATTTCAAATTCAAATGTATCACTGCATTCTATGCACTCTGTGGTAGCGCTCCTCCAACTAGATTTGGTCCCTTCTTTCTCCTCCAGCCCTTCCTTGTCCTCCCCCAGTATCACAATTACAACACAAAATGCTGCAGGAAATTAAAGGAAATTGTAAGAAGTTGAAATTCTTCAATAAAATTTCCAGAAGTAGAAGATAATGAAACCTCAAAGTATTCAGATTTAACAACATCAGCAAATAACACAGATTTGGCTTGAAATTTAAATTTAAAAGGATGGGCGACAATGTTAGTGACATTCATGTATCCATAAAATCCCATAAGAAATGAATTCGCCAAGCTTGCATTCATCCAGACATGTTTCTAGTACATCAAACATCCTGAATCAATCGGCAATGATATATATCATGACTGCAGTACACGTATCTGCAAACAATGCAGTTTTTTAAGAAGCTATTCAAAGGAATGTAACTAAAAAATAACATGTGAGAAATACTTACAGTTTCTTTAAGATGGCTAGAAATTCCGCTATCTTCTCTGGGGTTACTTGGGACCCACGTAAATCTTGACCACCACGAGCTTTTTTAATGTGCACAGCTATATTGTGAAAATCATCAGGATGCTGGTACAGACTGTCTTCTGCTTTTTCTCTAGGTTTTCTGAAAAAGGAGATAATCTCTTATTATATTGCATTCTGCTCAGAAACAGAGACATTTTATTCTCAAGAGCAGAAATGTGCTATTCTGAGACAATTTACCATTTTAATAGCATTGGCTTTTTGATTTCTTAGAATGCATTTTTTCAGTAAATCTGAAAAATTAACATTTATGACACATTTTAATATGTAAAATTTATTTATACATATCATAATTATCCAAAGCACTCAAATACTTATAATATATTAGGTTTATAGAATTTAAGAAAATATTTCAAGTCAATAGCTCACATACTTGTCACATTCAAAATTGTTTTTTGATATTTTATACCACCAATTATAAAAATGTTTCATTTCTTGGCTTTTGTTTCCCAAAGGCAAACCAAAACATTTGAAAATAGTTACCCTTGAGGGTAGGACCATTTTTTTCAGATACTCTATTCTTGGTTATGAGTACACACCAAAGCCCTAATGACAACTATCAAAAGATTACCGTTCCGCATTCACACTTTGAGCACTACACATTTCCGCTCAAAGGTCCTTGAAGTTAAGGAGCCAGGAATGAAAAAATCACTGTCCGTCTCTGAAGAAGAAGCCATGAATGAGACTATAAAATCCCAAATGATCACAGATCAGACCCAGATCATTCTTTAGTTGAAAAAAAAATACAGATTGAAAATAAACTTAAATATAAGAGACCATGTGCAAACTTTAATATCAAAGTACTACACTAATATCTAAAATTGGTCGAGACTTTCTATATGCCAGCTACCTATTGAACATTATATGCAAATTATCTCATCGACATTCACCACGTGTAGTAGAAAATTTACTCCCCGTTGATAAGGAAATTTCATTTTGAGAATGAAATGGCCAGTGTAACTCAAAATAGCTTCTTTATTTACATATATTATTAAAATTTAATAGCATAGCTGATTTTTCTAAAGTATGCATTCAGAAAGAAAATTAATAGTGTAATTTAAACATAAAAATTAAAATTAAGCCAGAAGCCAGTTCCCTTTTATTACATTCACAGAACCTTGCCCAATCCATCCAGAGACCTAAACCTTAAAAGGATAGTGACTTATTAATACTCCACAATAGTGAATACAGTAAGATTCTGCCACAATAAGAATTTAGGAACACAAAAATTGGACACATTTCTTCTATCTAGCCCAGTTACATAAATAGAAATCAGATCTTATTTTCTGCAGGAGGCTTGTGAACCTCCTCTGTGGCAGACTGTGGAAGAAATGTCGAAAGTTAGGGACCAAGGACTCAACATTTTGATATAAGTTCCTCATATTTGCCCAGGGCAAGAAATTCCTAGGATTTTTGTCTTTTTCTTGAAAATATCAATGTAGGCAAAGGATTCAGCATCATTCCCACTGACATTTAAGCCATTGAGACCCACTGTTACCAGGAGATGCCAAACAACCAACAGTAATAGGAACGAAAGATTAGATGGGCTATATACATTTAATCATGTATTCATCCACTCATTCATTACATTGTGCCTCTGCTCTTCAAGAAATGGTAGAAAGTACTCTGTATCATATTTATTTATATGGTAACATACTATAATTAAGTGCATAGTTCTAAGAACCTAGTCATACAAACCCAAAATAACTTAGAGTGCAATAAATGGCTTATACTTGGCAAGCACAGACATCAAGGAATTTCATGAGAACTACGGTTATGATGCAGGTCCTTTGCCAGCAAGCTGTCTTTACAGACTTCTGTATCACAATAATTTCTGCCTTTGAATTTTTAGTAAAATTTGATACTGAGCAAAATCCCTGATTCTAATTCTCATATGAAAATCTGACATTATAAATGAGTTGTACTTCTAAAAAATTTTTCTATACAAGTACTGTATATTCCTTAATACGTTTATTTCAAGATATATAATATTTGTATTATTGTGCTGCATGTGTATGCCATGGTTACTGAATAACAAAAAAGAATATTCATAAATGTAGTTCAAGTTAAACAGAGGAAGAAAATAAGCACAAACACACATAGGAACTACCGTTTTGAAAATAGGCTTGGTCTTAAACTTCACAAGATTACTAACTCTGTCGCATTGCAAAATATACCCAAAGTTAACATTGAGGCATTAAGAGAAGGCTTGGTGATAAACTCTTGATAGTCAACATGGTTGTCCTACCATCTCTAGCAATATAAATATGAGTAATTTAAGATAAGCAGAGGTAAACAGAAATCCTTTTGTTCATGTTAAATTAGCATTGTCTGTCACATGCAGTGTTCCCATTTCCTTTTCAAAGAGCAAAAAAAAAAAAAAGCAAGATGCTAAAAATCAATAATAGCACAAGTGATTGCAAACAAAGAGCCGTGTACCAACTGCAATAAGCAAAATCAAACTGCAGACCTGTGGGAGACATAGCTTAGAAACCTGCCCCAAGGAGAAGAATCTGATAACCAGAAGTACAATGACCAAGAGCAAAAGAAGAGACAAAGGCACAATGAAATTTTTGAAGACTGCCCTGCAAAGGAGCAAAGACATTTGTCAACCACAGAGTTAACTGAGGATGACATCGGGAATATGGGGGATACAGAATTCAAAACACTTGTTACGAAGCTTCTTATCAACAACGAGAAGCAAGTAAAGCAGTTCAAGGAATATAAGGAATATGTCATACAGGAAATGAATCTAATGAAAGCTGACATATCAGAAATGAAGAATACAGTGGAGCAAATTAAAAGTACAATAAAGAGTCCCCAGAATAGAATGAATGAAGCAGAGAAAATAATCTCAGAATTGAAAGATATTTCCTATCATGAGGAAACAAACAAAAAGCTGGAAGCAGAGTTGGGTCAAGTGAAAAAAAGGATTCAAGGATTGAAAGACATTATTAACAGGCCAAATATAAGAGTTATGGGAGTCCCAGAAGATGCAGAAAGAGAAACTGGCATTAAAGGTATATTCACTGAAATAATAAGGGAAAATTTCCCTAATCTAGAGAACGAATTGGGAAACAACATCAAGGAAGGGCACAGATTTTTTTTTTGTTAGTTTCATCTCTTCAAAATATTTTCTTTCTCACTAAATTCTTCAGTGACTCATAGGCCATACAGTAGCATCATTTTCTTCAAGAAGGTTCTTGATTTTCTTTTTCATTTTCTCAGCGACACATTGATCGTTCAGCAGCATGTTATTTAACTTTATGTCATTGTTAATTTCTTTCTTCTTCCTGTTGTTGATTTTGTTTTGTGGCTCTTCATTTAAGGGGATGTATAATAATGGTGTAATGGAGACTATCATATCTAGAAGCATTTGTTCAACTTCATATGGCATTCCTGTTGTTGATTTTGTATTGTGACTTTTCATTTAAGGGGATGTATAGTAACTGTGTAATGGAGACTATCACATACAGATGTGGGGATACAATGCAGTATGCATCTCTACTTCCAGACCAAAGATGGACTCCCAATGAAACTGTTTACTATATCTTGACAATAGGATGCTGGACTCTCTGCCATTGTTCATGCCTGCAGTGATGGACATATGACTGTTCATGAAGAACTATACTATAGTAATCATATAGGGAAGTCACTGAGCAAAGAGGAGATTTGGCGGTGTGTAAGGGAAATCCTAGGGCCTATGGAACTGCATCACAAAATGATGATGATGATAATAATAATAATAATAAGAAGAAGTAAAACTTTAAAAAATGAATAATTGAATTGACATGTATTCTTTAGGCTAAAACAGCAATGTGTTTTGAAGAATACCTTACACTACATCAAACATGCAAAAACAAATTTTTAGAGGCAATTATACACAGATTCATCTCTTAAGGAAAAATTAAAATTAGACTCAAACAGATTTTTAAAAAGACAGCTTAACACCACCTCAAAGTAACATTATTACCGTATAATTTTAGAACAATAATGAAACACTGTGTTCCTTCTCCAGGGACAATTGAAATTCCTTCTACACAAGGTCCAATTCCAGAGCTATTTGCTGAACTCTTAACCAGGGTAAAACAATATTCGTTGTCTTCATATCTCAGCTCCCAGGTGAGAATGATTTCCATCTTTTCAGTTTAACTCCTCTCTGTTTTCCACCCACAGAACATTGCTAAATTAGTCCCACACCTGGGTGATCACAAATCCACCATGTCTAATTTTAACTGATCCTTGATTTTCATCGACCTTCCCAAGTCAGCCTCTAGTCAAGCTCATCTCAATGGCTTTCCTCTAGCACCTTTTTCATCTAATTTCATGCTGTATATACAACTGGTGTCAGTATTAATGGTCTTCTGTAAGCATTAGTAACACAGCATTTAGCTGTAATAATACCTGAGCTTGCATTATAATTAATTAAGAGACTTACATGCAAATGAAATGTCTAAATTTTCAGTATTTCTGTTTCACTGTAACCCCTTCAAGTGTATCTCAGCCTCAGAAGTTAGTGTAAGTAACAGGTGAGGAAGGCACTAATTTGGTGCCAACATGGGGAAAGGGGAAGGCAAATTTTTTTGTCATCAACTAACAACCTAGGGAAAATTTCAAACTTAAAACTATATCTTCAACTTTAAACTTTTATGCTTAATGAAATGTACCAGTCCCTAAAAGACAAACCTCGCATGTGTTTTTTTTTGTGCTGATTTATGGTTATTAATACAGAGAGCACAAAAAATGCAATGTGTATGAGCAAATTTGATATTTAGAAATTTGGTTATTACTATCCATCTGTGACTATACTCTAGAAAGTTGTCTTTCACTTAATATTGTTGAATTCTTCAATTGGTGAAGGGTTACAATCATGATTGTAAAATAGAGAGCATGTTACTGTAAAAACTTGAAAAAAAATAAGAAACAAGGAAAAATGGTGGAAGCAAGATAGGAGGAGAAGAATAGGGTGGGAAGTATTAATAGGCTTTCAAATCTGTACATATAAATACATGAAATTTGTTCATTGTACATAAATTAGGTATACATTTTTTTAAAATAAAAAGAGGGCCTGCGTAATAGCCT